CCTGCTTTTACATGAGTGCTTGGAGACATGAACTCAGGACTTTATGCTTTAGCAGCTGGTACTTTACCCACTAAGCCATCTCCCAGCTCCAATGCACAAGACTCTTATGACTTGAAAGGTATGAGGATTTCTCTTCATCAAAAAGCAAGCTATCATTTCTGCTTGCTCTAACCAATCTGGTGTCCTCTAACTCAATTCCATTCTGACACTGTCTATGTAAAGTGAATCCCGAGCCCCAAGCACAAACACTTCAGATACCAGTTGCAAGCTACACCTATTTCTTTTTCCTGTGCCCCTGACCCATTGGCACAATTTATGATTCCAACAGCTCCCTGAAGTTCAAATAACTTGTTTGAATGGCTCATAGAATTCGTGGGGACACACTGTGTTTATAAAGGGTATTAGAAGGTGCACATGGTGGAGTATAGGAGAAGGGGCACAAAGCTTGCATGTTCTCTATGGGTCAGGAACCTCAAGGGCTCATTTGGGAATATAATGCTAACAGACTAGATGAAGGAGACTATTATGTCTTCGTTCAGTCTTGTTGACCTCTCTATGCAGCTTCCAGTTATGAGACAGATCACTGTCTGAAATGAAGATAATATCTGCTGTTATTTACCTGTCATCTACTATCAGAAAAAGGTCAGAGAAAGACGGAAGATTTGAGTTTCTGTGACATGCCTTGAGGCATTAGTTAGTAGCTAGAAACTGGAGAACTAGATATATGTCTGTAGTGGTATCACAGGGATGGACAAATTTTCTTTGGTGAAATAATTTTTCATCAGAGTCAGAACCTACAAGTGAAAATATAAGAAAAATTATTTTAGGCTGAAGTATCACATGCAAAGGACTAGAATCAAAAGGGAGCAGGGTACAAAATCAAAGGTTGCATTTCAGACGTGACCAGAGAAGTGAGGAGACACTCACTCAAGGGGTCCAGTAAGCTCTCACCTGGCCTGCCAAAGTGTGTAGCACTGTGAACACTTTCCTGAGGAAACAGGAATTTTAAGAAAGCATGACTTCCAAGCAGACAGCCAAACCTGTAGTGATGCCATTGGAAATTACTAAGCCAAAAAGTAATGGAATCAGATTGTACAGTCCATGGGACAGGGACTTTTATCACTCTTGTTCACTTAGATTTGTGTCATAGACAGTAATTGCTGAAAGGATGGATGTCTGTTTGGATAATATAGCATTGTATTATATTGTAATCATGTGCTTAATGACTCTTCACAAAGCTCAATCCTGAAAATTGACTTTGATTATTTTCTTTATATTACCAGATATATTATTCTAGTGCCTGGCTAAAACATCAGTTTCAAAGACTGGGAGATATCTCATTCAGTACAAGTCTTGTCAAACACAGACCTTAGTCTAATTCCCAGAACCCACTTGTTAAGTAATAATAATAATAATAATAATAATAATAATAATAATAATAAAAGCCATACATGGTGTATGTGCTTATAATCCCAGGACTCAGGAGGCAGAAACGTGCAGATCCCTATAGGACTTGCTGATCAGCCAGACAAGCCTAATCAATAAGCTTTAGACCATTAAGAGACCCTGCCTCAAAACAAACAAGATGGATGGTACATATACACACACATACATGTTTACCTCCAAAAACACAAATGCGCACACACACTCAGTTGGTCAATTTCAGTATTGCATGTGTTCATTCCTTTCAGGGATTAATTAAAGGGTTCCTGCTTGAGGCTAGAAACTAAGAATGCAAAGATGACTAAAATATTGTTTCTTATCACAAAGACTGGGAGAAAGACTGGTAAGAAGGACTGGTAATTCTTTGTAGTAAATGTTACAAAAGGGTAAGAACACAGTACAGCTGTCAGGATGGCAAGGAAGATAGTAGAAGCTGTAGGGCTACCATGTGCCAGATGAAAGGAAGAGAAAATAATAGGACTGAGCATAAAGGCGGAGTCTGAAGGGAGAGAAGGGCCGAGGCAGGAAAACACTGAGCTTCATCCTGGTGAGTGGGGACTTGTTAGGACTGAGTAATGATACAGAAGAATGACTGGTCAGATGCGATGGATACAACACTGCTTATATTGAAGACTGAAGAGTAGGTTAGCCAAACAGCAACTATAAATGGGAAGAAATGACACTGGCCTGCACTAAATTAGATATAGTAGAAAACACAGATGGGTGGAAAATGTTTTCATATAATATATTCTGATCATGCATTCCCCTCCCCCATCCTCCTCACTTCCCTAACCATCCAACTCAAAGTCCGTCCTTTCTTTAGATAACAAACCAAAAAATAAACACACATATACAAAACCACAGAAACACAAAATCAGAAATCATAATATACAAGCAAAAAACCAATAAGACAAAAAATAGCTCAAAGCAGTATGAGACAAAAAGTTTATAAAAATGCCATCGAGTTTGCTTTTGTTGGCCACACAGGTGGATTTGAGCACTGTTAAGATAAAATCAACAGGATTTAATATTTCAGAGTGAGAATGACAAGGCGACCACGGATGAATCACAATTTTTTTAATTTAGGGTTTTTTTTTTTTTAGATTGGAATATGATTGTGTCATTTCCTCCTCCAGACGTTCTCTTGCCCCATTTGCTCTCTTTCAAATTCATGCTCTTTTTCTTTGCCATAGGCACACAAATGCATGGTGGGGGTATGAGGATGTGGGGGTATGTGTGGGGGCTGATAAAGTCTTAAATATATAAAGACAGCTTGATCAGTTCATATAATGTTACTTGTATGTGTGTTTTCAGGGCTGACCATTTGGTATTGGATAACCAGTTGGTGTACTCTTCCCTGGGGAAGACTATTTCTCCCACTCAATATCCCTTAGTAACCTTTAGTTCTTTGCCTAGGGTTGAGGCCTCATGAGCTTTCCCCAATCTCAGACTTTTAACTTGAATACCTTAGGTGTAAACAAAGATTTGGAGAAGGCTTACAGAAGCAGGTGATGAATTCCAATCTAAGACATAGTATGGTTGGGTTTTCTTTGGAATGACTATGTAGAGACTTATAGTGGGCTGTTAGATGTACATGCAAGTGTGGGGTTTAGAAGAGATCTACATTGAATGCTTAACTAACTATAAGGACTTGCTGCTTATGAAATGTAATTGATTCCTAGGAGATAATAAAGTCACTGGGGTGGGGGATAGAAAACAGAAAAGACAGCTAAAGAAAAAAAGATGGAACAATATTCAAATAAAAAGCATTTTTAAGGCAATGAATATACAGGGAAGCATAACAGTCATTTAATTTACAAAGAAAAGACCTTTCACAATGTTATCTAAATACTGCAGATCAGGTGGCTGCCCTATCTGTGCGTAAGGCAAATCCTGTTCTTAGGCTTCTTAAGCAGAGAATGTTACTAAATTAACAATGGAAACTAGTGAACTACTGCACAGCAGAAGTGTATCCTCTGAGTTTTTTCAGGCCCATGTGAATTTTGTGATTCAAGTTTTATTCTCTATGAGACACTGAAGTCCAAGGTGGCCTTGAATTTACAATAATCCTACAATCTTTCAAGAACTGGGGTTAGAGATATGAGCCAACATGCTTAGCTAAGAAACCTTAAGAACTGTATGTTTAAAAATACAGCAGGGCTAGAGATGTGGCTCAGGTTCACTACATTAGCTCGCTGTAGTGATATACACCTGAAATGTCAAAACTTGGGAGATGGAGACAAGAGGGTGAGAAATTAAAGCCATCCTGTGAGGCTTGATCATTTCAGCCAGCAGTCCTGAGGTTGTTCTGGACGTAGAACTCAGACATATGGGCCATCAGGAAATGCTGTGGGACTTGTACTTTGTAAAGATTTGTCACTTTATTTTAATAAAACACTGATTGGCCAGTAGCCAGGCAGGAAGGATACGAGGGGCAACCAGGCAGGAAACAGAGGCGGGGCGATGAGAACAGGCGAATTCTGGGAAGAGGAAAGACACAGTCTGCAGTTATCACCCAGACCAAGAGGAAGCAAGATGGGACTGCCTCACTCATAAAGTTACCAAGCCACATGGCTAAACACAGACAAGAATAATGGGCCAATTTAAGATGTAAGAATTAGTTAATAAGAAGCCTGAGCTTACAGATGAATCAGTTTATCATTAATGTAAATTTCTGTGTGTTTCTTTGGGGCTGAACGGCTACAGGATCGGGCAGGACAGCAATCTCTGTCAACAGTTATACTATATCAATAATAACCTGCATCTACTACAATAGAAAAGAGGGATAATGTTGGAGCCTCTTGTATTCATTCTGAGAAGTCTGGCTTTAAAATATACTGGATTACATTTTCCTTCCACAGCACCAGAAGATGTGGAGGGGGGGGGGGACGTTATTCCCTTCTAGCAGCTGAATAATATACAATGCCCTTTATATCTTTCTTGGAACTCCAGGCATCAGGGGTTGACTGGCAGAACATATATACCTCCACTTACTCATTCAGTTGAGCAAAAATAAGCCCTAAGATCTTCACTAAAATTGTCTTATTGTTGATGATTAGTAATAATTCACTGATCAGCTCCCCTGTAATCAATAATATATCCTTTTCTGCAGCTGAAGGAGTCACTGTCCTTTGTAAGCCTTTGTCTAAACAGTTGCAGAAAAGACAAGGTTGTATTCTCTGCTAGCTGAAAAAAGGATTTACATTATGTCTGCCTCTAAGTAATCAGTGCCCTAGATCTCCCTTGACCCTTACTTGCTCCTTGTTGGCCCCACACCTTGATCAACAAGCCTTCCCTCAAGAGTTGGATGTGCTGAATTCACTAGAGAGAGCCAAGACACTGTCCCAGAAACTGGCTGCCTCCAGGGGACTTCAGTCCTGAAACTTGGAATGCCAAATTCTGATACTGGCAGCAGGGTTATGTGCCAGGCCAAACAAGCCCACAGGAGAGCAGCAGGTTTGGATCCATTATGTACGCTTAGTCTTCCTGTCTTCTACATGTCTTGTGTAGATGTCACATCTCTGCTGAATTATACCTCTCTTTGGTGATTCTCACAGATTCAAAGAGTGAATTTTGTGCACATTGAGTCAAGTTTTGAAAGCTCCGGGAAGAAGAGGAAGGTCAGTGAGCCAGTGAAAATCCTCATCCCTAAAAGAAAATGAAACTTTGGTACCTTTAACAGCATCTGTTCTGTAAAAACATGTATGAAATAGTGTAACAGGAAAGTAAGTTTTTATCACCAAACTTTTTTTTAAGTTTTTGCTCAACTTTTTTTACTCAGTTTTCTAAGCTGCCACACTGTTGAGAAGGACATGGTTCAGTTTGCCAGAAGGAAACAAGATCACCAGGGCTGCTGTGGGATGGCATTATCTCACGGCCAAGTCAGAGATGAGACAGACTTTGTATTTGCAAAAGAACCATAGCAGCCATTTTGAAAAGAAATAAGTTGCTGTTCTTAAAGAAGAGGGTTTTTCTTTACATAACAACTCTCCAGGTATCTGGACTACTGAGAGATATTCTGACTTGCTGTAACCTGTGTGTTGGAATCCTTCCATAGATTTATTAAAACTCGCACAGAATAGCATAGGATATGCATGGAGGTGATTAGCCAGACGTGATTTACATGTTGACTTCAATCACAAAGTTGACCAGCAGCTTGTGGACCAAGATGTCCTCCCTGTGAAATTCCTCAGCTCTGGGCCTAGGCCCTGTTTTGTCGGCCAGTCCCAAACAGCTGACATGCAACAATTCAGGAGCTTGGTTCCCTTGTAAGACCTATGTTGAATATTTTCCAAAAAATATTTGAGTTTATCAGTCTGTAACTTGTAGGTGATTCTATTTGTCCTCTCCCTATTCTAGAAGAATTTTGATAGGCTTAACAATTAATGTGATATGAACAATATATGAGTTAAAGAATTGTTTTATGATTTATGTAACATCGAATTTAATAATTGAACTTAATAAACGGGATAGATAAGTATTAAATATGTATGCTTTACATGTGTGTGTGTGTTTTACTTGCCATGGTGTATGGGTGGTAATCAGAGGACTACTTATTAGAGTTGGTTCTCCCCTTCCATCATGTGGATTCTGGGGACTGAATGTAGGTCATCAGGTTTGGCAGCGAGTGTCCTTATGCACTGAGCCATTCGCCAGGCCTGCAGGGCGTTCTCATCGTATCTCACATTTGCTGCTCTTCTCAAGGCAGTGTGGCTCTCCGCATTTGAGTGCTTATCACACAGTATGGTTTAACTGAACCCAACCAAACTGTCAGGGCTGAGTCCTGTGGAAAATTCTTAGGATTCTATCACAGAAGTTGAGATCATATGACCTTTGACAAAAGAGTATCTCTGGGCTGGATGTACCTTAGTCTGCAGAAGTCTGTGGTACAGAGGAAAGCCAAAGTAGCCTGCCTGTCTAGCACTGCCCTTTGACATAGGGCTGAGTATCAATTGAAGCCTTAAACCTGAGTAAAGCACCAAGGACTGTGGTGGAAGAGGGGGTTGGATTTTCCCTGCCTAGCGTACTAAGTAGTTTCATGTAAGCCTACTCTGCCACTAAAAGGAGCAGGAGGGGAAAGGTAATTGGGTTTATTATATCCTTGATAGAAGTGTAGCCTGAGTCATCATAATTTCTTTTAAGAGAATCACATAAGGAGATTTGCTGTCTAGTAGAGGGATTAGGTTTATTTTGTGTCTCTCCTGAGGGCAGATCCAAGACCAAATCTGTAAAAGCGTCAAGAGGTCAGTTTGGCTAAGAGTAAGGAAGAGCTCTTGAGCTCCACAGGTCGTCAGGATTTTGCAGGGGGCTGTCTCACAGTTGACGAGCTGAGTCACCACGAGCTGTGAACACACAGGGACTTCACATCTCGGGGTCTTTGATTTGCAGAGCAAATGAGTTGTACAGAGTAATTAGTCAATCTGGATTTCAGAAGGAACCATTTTGTTTAAAAGAATTTAGCTCGCAATTTATGTTTACTTTTATTAGAAACTTAGCCTAAAATTGAAAATGATCCTTAAAGTTTAAAAATTGTCTGTAGTGATCTGACTTTTATCTTTTATTTCCCCCATTCTCAACTAAAGAGCTTCTCACTGCTGTTGGGTTCAGTGTGATTCTGATGCAGTGAGTACATGAGGTGGGAGAGAAGTTGCTGGATACCTGTCCTTGGTAGCCGTGCAGGGAAGGGGCTCTATTACCAAGAAGATCTGAGAAACAAGAACGTGTAAAATAGCTGGTTTTACACTGCATAGCTAGCTCTTACAGGCTAGTTATCAAGGACTGAAGACATTCAGTTTCATTCACTGAAAGATTTACTTAAAGGAAAGAAATCCTTTAATCTTTCATTTCTGTCCCTAGCTGTCGGAAAATGAATAAATACAACTACGTCAAAAACTAGAAGAGAAGGAGAAGAGGGAAGGAGGGAGAGAGCGGTGGGGAAGGAGCGGTGACACCATGAGAACGGCTGCAGGGCAGGACGCCACACTGTGCTCTGCTGGCCCTTCACTCACCCTGCCTGTGCTTGCTTCCTCAGCACAGTTACAAAGATTAGAAGACGATAGCTTGGAAACTGGGGCATTGTTAAACTAAAACTCATGTGGGGAAGTTTGACTTTGGTGAGTGGTTTGCTCTCTGTACAGAAATTAGTCTAGCTAAAAAGAAATAGGCTGGGCTCAGCGTTGCCTCTGGCCTTTGAAGCCAGGCACCAAAACCACACCTTCGTTTCCCCTCCTGCAGGTCCCTCTGGTGTCTAGGCTCTTTCACTTCCAGCTCACGTCTGCCAGGAAGAGGCTGGAAATGGTATCAGTGGCAAAGTTGCACTGAGATAAGTTCAAACTTCTGTGGTATTTAAAATTCTAGAAACATTAGAGCTCATTTTGAGTGTAACTGAGAATTGATGATTTATGGCTTCAGAACCAACAGTATGAGATCTTCAGTGACTTCCACAGATTCTCATAGTAAAAGCAATGCTCAGTTATAATGAATGTCATTTGGAAGGAAGCCCAAGTGACAGTCTAGCTCTGCACACGTGAGTGAATACCTAATCGTGTCCTCTTTGGAAAGTACTCGTTTGTTTCTGTGGTAACATGCTAACTGTGATTTGTATATTGAGGTCCTTGCTCTATGATATACAGTTTTCAGTATCCATAGACTACAAGGGTGTAGTTGAGGGCATAATTGTTTTGTTTGTTGAAAACTTTTATTTTATTTTATTTTAAATGCCATGGTAAGGTTAAGCTTCTATCCCGAGAGTGAGACTTGAAAGGAGCTATAGAGCCCAAGTGTTCCCACAGTGCCCACCTGGGTGGACAGTGAGTGTCTCTGCAGATAGGGCTTCACTTTGGGGGTGCTTAAGGGTGCTCATAGTTGCTCTTTTTTGTTGTGTTTTAGTTTGGGGGTTTGATTCCTTTTTGTTATTGTTGTTGTTGCTTTGGTTTTTTTTTTCTCTCTCTCTCTACATAGTCTCTCTACATAGACCTGACTGTCCTGAAACTTGCTATGTAGACCAGGCTGGCCTAGAACTCAGAGATCCGCCTGCCTCTGCCTCCCTGGTGCTGGGATTAAAGGCAGGCGCCCACATGCCCACTGAGATTCCTTCTTGTGGGAGATGATGTCTTACAGGTGTCCCTGGCTCTCTGTGTACAAAGTCAGGAAAACTATTCTGATACCCAGCTGGGAATTGCATGGAAGACCTGCTCTAAAGGTAACCCTGAAAAATCTTGCCCGGCAGTTAGGAAAATAAGCTGACCTATTCAGGGTCAGGATTTTTCTGTAATTCCAGTATGATACCTTTGAACCTTCAGTGAAGTCTCACTCAGTGTTCTAGACTGACCTCATCTTGACCCTGGTGTTCAGCTCTACAAGCCCTTCTCCCCAAGGAGAGAGACAAGCTGAATGAAACAGCTAGAAACATCTGGGAGGCACTGAAGCACAGAAGCTTTCTTTAGGGGTCTCAGATACTTCAGAGCAGAAATCTAGTGTAAATATGTCTTTGGAATGTTGACATCTGGTTCTTCCACACTCCTAAAAGCTGTAGAAGCTTGGTTCCATTTGGATGAATATTAACTGGATCCAAGATAAAAGTTTCCCATCTTCCTTATAGAAAGATAGTAAAGAAGAAGCCTGAGTTATCCAGGCCTGATGATACACAGGAGTCTGAGGCTGGAGGACTGTGAGTTTAAGCCCAGTCTAAACTACACAGCAAGACTCCATCTCAGAGAAAGAGGAAAGGAGGGAGGTAGAAGAAAAAAGCAAGAAAGGAAGAAGAAAGAAAGAAAGAAATCACATGTCTAGGATACTAAATTCAAACCTGACTACTATTTTCTAGACAAGTTATTTTACCTCTCGATGAAGCAAGAAAATCAAGCAAACTGCCAAGTAAGCATATAGCTAGGGCTCCATAGCTGCTCAATGTGTGTGCGTGTGCATGCGTGTGTGCATGTGTGTGTCTTCCTCAGTCTCTTGTCCACCTTATTTTTTGAGACAGGATCTCTTATGTACCTGGAGCTTGCAGGTTAAGCTGGCTAGACAACATGCTCCAGGAATCTGCCTGGTACACCTCCTCTACACTGGGATTACAGGCAAGGACCACCACACTTGCCTTTTTACATTCATGCTGGAAATACAAACTCAGGTCCTCATGCTTATACAGCAAGCATTTGCTATTAAAACACTTTCTAAAGTCCTCAAGTTGCTACTTTAAACTCTAGTGTGTCTTCAAGAACTGTGGGTCATCATGCCTTTTTTTTTTTCCCTACTAATCATCTTTTCTAAGCTTGGAGCTGACCCTTGATCCTGCCTGCTCCCGATGGCCTCAGGTCTCAGCATCTCCTTGCCTCTCTCCTCAGAATGGAAACTCCCTTTCCTTCAGGACAGTTTGTGGAAGGGAAGCAAGCTGCCCTCCGACATTTTAAATAGAAGCTAAGAAAATGAACATTACCTAAGGACTGTGATACGAAAACAGACTGAATACACAAAAAGAGGAAAGTTTAAGGAGAGCTTTATTCCACCTTCAAACACTTAAACTGCTGTTAGGAAACTCAGAGAACCATAGACACATTGTGTTCCAGAGACCAGACACAGAGCAGATGAAGGAAATGGAAGGGAGTGAGGGTTTCTCCTCCGTACTTCAGCAGAGTGTGTGGCACATGGAAGGCATGCAGCA